CTACATCATCGTAGACTGTTACTTAACAGTGAACGGTGTGTCTTCTATTTTATCCTGGGATGGTGATTTAAGTTAGTTTCCAAAAAAATTATTAGGTAATTCTGATCATAATCGAGTATACAGTATGAAGCCATGGAATCGCTATAAAGATCCTCTTCATGTTAAAGATTGTTGTTGTGATTTTATGGATCGAAGCAAGATTTGCAATATATACACGGTTGAGTGTATTGAGAAACGTACTCATGCACGTTGGGTTGATAATAGGTAAGAACTTGGACCTTGGGAGTTTAGAACATATCATTTTTTATCTGCACCGGCTGAATTTCTAGATATTAAGAAAGAAGATGATCAATGGATTGAAAATATCATTTGTGAAGGTCTTACAATGTGTGATATATTGGAGGATCCAGTAAAATTGGCTCCACGATGCTTCTATAGATTGTTTCAGGATTTGGATTATATTAATGATTATCAAAAAGAATTTTTAAACGAATCTTTAAAACGTTTTTGGTGTCTTGTAACTTTTTATTTTTATGGTGATGGTGGCGCTAGTAAATCAAATTTAGTATAAAAGCTTTTTTTTAATGAGCTTTATTCGAAACCAAAAAAACAAAAATCAGGTTTGAGTTGGTGAGATGGATACAACAAGTATGAAATTGTTCTCTTTGACGAATGGTATTCCATTCTTGATTGGAATGATGTTGTTAAATATTTGAATGATATACCTGAGAATGTTGAACAAAAAGGCAAGTTATTTGTACCTTTTCTTGCTAAATATGTTTTCATGACTTCTTACAAGCTACTGGAAGAAGCATTCAACTTCTGTAGAGTTAATATGAACAATGAGACATCAACTCAACGTGACTGGGGCCAATTATTTTGACATCTTGACTATATTATCGAGTTTAGGAGTATGTGGCATGATGAGATTGATCAACATACTATGGAGCTTACATTTCATAAGGGCTTTAAAGACGATTTTCACAACATGTTTTGGGATATTAAATATGATGAAGGTGAGTACACCTGTGATAAGTTAAAGGATATTATTTTGCAACTTAACAAGAATTAAGAGGGTGAGGTGATTATTAAAAATAATCAGGTTTACTGGTATCGTCACTTTCCTGAATTCAAGAAAAACTATCTACACAATTATCCTCGATGTTATAAGCTTTCTCTTTATAAACAAGAGCTTCTACAACAATCGCAATTAGTTTTATCTTCAACTGTGACAGGAAAAAGATCTCAAGAACATATATCTGAATCTGAATCTGAAACATATTTTGATGATGATTCTGACTATAGTCGTCAATGATCAATAGCCAAATCTAGCATTATAGCCGCTGCGAGAAAAAAGCAAAAATTTGTAAATAATTCAGAGTATGAAAATGAAACAATAAATGATAATTCTATATAATATTTAAAAAAGAATGGTCTAAGTTTTGAACATTTATAAATTCATTTAGTTTAATTAATTAGTTATACTCTTATACTTGATAATAAATATATATACATATTTGTAAGATTTATTATTTGATAATGACTATTTATTAAATATTTATTTTCATTGTCGAAAAATATCCTCTTTACACAAGGGGTATTTAAAATTAAGTGAGCCCGATGCTTAACAATTATTACTGGTATTAATAAAAAGTAAAAACTAGTGTAAATTTGATTCATTAAACTACTCTGTTCCTTCATCAGTAGTAAACTATCCATTCTCATTATCAGCTTCATTTTCAAAATCAAAAACTTTAAGTTCATCATATCGAACACATCTGTTTTTTACGTGGCAAGTTTATGCTTATTTTAGTTCTTTCAAAACTAGTTTATTAAATCTTATAGTAACTTTACGAAAACGTATAAGCGAACGGAAGAGAAAATTGTAAATATCTTTATGAATATTTAGCCAAAAAGGTGATTTAGATAGTCTGATATCCCATCCACAAGTTTATTTACAATTTATAATAAGCTATATAAAGAAAGATTCTCCTAAATTATATTTAAATAAGTAAGATAAAAAAATAAACTTATTTGAAAATTTATATTTTCAATATTAAAAGTTATTTAAAATAAAATGATATTAATGACGAATTCTTTAGCATGGAATTAAAATACAACACCAAAAGTCAAGGTTTTGGATTCTTTATTAAAATAACAAGTAAATATATAAGAAGAGTCTATATCTTTTACAATAGTATCATTAATGCAGAAGGATATCAATGTTTTTATCAAACTGAAAGTCAGAAAAATTTTAAAGAATCTAATTTAAACAAAGATAATGATGGATTAAATTGTTTTAGTTTAATTCAAAATACTGTTTACTTTAAAATTGTTAAAAATAATGATACTATCTTATCGATGGAAATTTAATTTTTTGTAATTTTTTTTCATTCTATATTTACTATTAAATAATTATAAATAAATATATTATATTTAAAATCTTAATTTTTAGCTTGATTGCATAGTTGTTCATCATGTTATGAACATTTTTTATTGATAACAGCTAACGAAATGTGGTTTATGATTTTAATATAGTTATTAGACATTCATATTTTGAAAAAAGCAATGATCTTAATTTTATAAATAAAATTTATTTTATTTAGTTGAGATTTAATATTTAAGGTTTATAAAAATATTGCAAAGGTTTATGATCATTATGAATAATAAATTTTTTTTCAGAATAGATATGATAAATACATTGATTATTGTAATAAACTTGATATCTACATAAATGATCAATTAAAAATGAATTTGTTCTTGGAAAAGGAGGAACAGGAAAAGGTGTCGAAAAAACAGTATTATCAACGATTCTAATTCTAGAAGAAATTGGAGATTCTTTTTCATTGTTTTCTTCATTAATAAAAAATAAACAAGCAGAATTTTTTGAACCTTGAATTGTTGTTAACTTAATCATGAATGAAAGACCTTTAAATTTTTAAGTATCTTCATCTTTTAATATAATATTAGGATCAGTTTCTCCTTTTGCTTTTTTAAGATGAACTGAATCAGAAAAACTTTCTATTTCACTAAAAAATAATATAGAAATGAAAATTGTTTATTAAAAACAAGAAAAATAAATTTAATATTTACTCAAAATAAAAAGATAGATGTTAAGGTAAAACTATTTTTTTATATTTTGAATTGATTTTATTTATTAAAATTGGATTGATACATGTTATATATAAAAATTATTAAAATAAGATCTATGTCCAAATCTAACTTTAAACGTAATATAATCACGAAATATCATAAAAACGCGAAAAAATATTTTAATCTTTTTCTTTAGTTTCCTAATGTTTTGCTAGTTTTCTTAAAATTATGAATGATGTATTTTTTTTGAGAATTGTTAGAGTAGATTTTTGTTTTTGTATTGCTTTTCTTTTTTACAGGGTTATAATAGATTATGTATTTCATCAGATGTTCGATCAGATAATATTGTGTATCAGGTATCAGATATTGCGGTTCTTTTCTTTTGTATATAACGTCTATACAGATGATACCTTTGGGAATATTGATTTTTTCATTTAGTTTGTTTAAAAAAAAAGAATCTTGCGATGTTATGTTTTCCTTGAATCATTTTGATTTTAATTTTAAATGGTAGGTTTTCAAATTTTTGAACATCATGATCATGTTCTAATTCTCCTTTGGTATTTCATTTCCCAACATTTAAAGTGCCAGCAAAAGACATTTTGCTAAAATGGTTTATGTATCTTTTTTTAGGGTTTACTTTTGGCATTGTGTATTTAATATTTCATTTAAACACAAAAAATATTCTTTGTATTATTAGAAATAAAATTAGCTTAGAAAACTATTTAAACTAAATAAAAATAGAGAATTGCATTTATATATTTTTATTTATGCTAAAATCTAATTGCATAATATATAAATTCATATATAAATAACGTTTATTTGAAAATACAATTATATTTTAATTCAAAATGGATAAACAAATTGTCATCAAAGAAAATAAAACCGATACTTCTAAAAAACCAGTTCGAAAGCAAAAATTTACAACCAATACCTCTTGTTTCTCCAAAAAAAAAATTTGTTGAATAGGCTCTTGTAGCGATGAGAAAGACTATAATGCATGTCATGCTCAATGCCCCTGCGGTGCGGCTGTTGATCAAATTTCATTTTTTCTAACCAAGGAAGGTCATAAGATTCTTGATCAGCGATTCTATTTATATACTCTTTTGCAGAATCCTAAGCAGCTTGAGTATCTTGAGCTTTGTGATGTATCTATTCAACTTAGGCTTGTGACATTTCACTTGTCTAATACAGCTAATAGTTTACCTATACGTGTAGATCATAAAGAATTTCAGGTGCGAGCTTTGCTTGGTCCTTTAAGGATGCACCTTTATCTTGTTCGCTTATGTGATGTGCATTTGGCTGCGAAAAAGGAGCTTAATATAGATGATGTTTTTTTGGATCCTAAAAATATCAGGGATCACGAGCTTTCAAGGAATCTCGAGAATTTGATGGAGTATTATGTGACATTATATTGCAACACTACTTGTACACTACAAGATCATGTTATCACGATGTGTCGGCTATTCAAGAAAGACAAAAAGCAGATATGTATGACTAGCAATGAGAACAATATGCCTATCTATGATACTAGCAATTATCGTTTCTTGATTTTGATCGATTATCTTGATTGGATGTATCAATTGCACGTGGCCGATGAACGAGAAGATGCGATTTCGTTTGGCCATACCATAGATAACAATAGTGACGAGTCCGGTGTGCCAGCATTTTTTTCTGGCGGTGCAATAGAGATTTCTTATGTTCCAGATGTTTCTTCTTATCGTTCGATAGGTGCTATATCGGATATTATTGCTAACCAGATTATACGCAAAGTTCGAGAGGCCACCAATACCAACTAAGAATTTCCTTAAATGGTATTTAAAGGATGTTTGTTTATATTTTAGTAATCTATTTTAAGATCATGTCAAAGATAAATGTCCAAGCCTATTATCGTATTCTAAAAGTGAAAAGAACTTCGAGTATTGATG